GACTTGGTGACAGAAATGATGCTGGAGATTGCATGATAGAATTTTGCAAGACCAAAGACTTCTTCATTGCAAATATCTTTTTTCACCTACACCTCACCAGATAGAATACACAGGAATCATATCAACTACATCTGTGGAAAGAGACGATGGAAAAGCTCAATATCAGCAGTCAGAACAAGGCCAGGGGCTGACTGCGGAACAAACTACCAATTGCTCATATTCAAGTTCAAGCTGAAACTGAAGAAAAGCAGAACAAGTCCATGAGAGCTAAAGTATGATCTTGAGTATATCCCACCTGAATTTAGAGACCATCTCAAAAACAGATTTGACACACTGACCAAAGACCAGACGAGTTGTGGAAGGACATCATACATGAAGACAGCAAGAGGTCATTAAAAAGACAGGAAAGAAAGAAAAGACCAAAATGGATGTCAGAAGAGGCTCTGAAACTTGCTCTCGAATGTAGAGTAGCTAAAGCAAAAGGAAGAAATGGTGAAGTAAAAGAACTGAACAGAAGATTTCAAAGGACGGCTTGAGAAGACAAAGTAAAGTATTACAATTACATGTGCAAAGACCTGGAGATAGAATACCAAAAGGGAAGCACATGCTCGGCATTTCTCAAGCTGAAAGAAATGAAGAAAAAATTCAAGCCTTGAGTTGCAATAGTGAAGGATTCTACGGGGAAAATATTAAATGACACGGGAAGCATCAAAAGAAGGTGGAAGAAATACACAGAGTCATTATACCAAAAAGAATTGGTCAACATTCAACCATTTCAGGAGGTAGCATAAGATCAGCAACTGACGATACTGAAGGAAGAAGTCCAAGCTGCACTGAAGGCTTTGGTGAAAAGCAAGACTCCAGGATTGACGGAGTCCCAATTGAGATGTTTCAACAAATGGATGCAGTGCTAAAATTGCTCAGTCGTCTATGCCAAGAAATTTGGAAGACAGCTAGCTGGCCAACTGACTGGAAGAGATCCATATTTATGCCTATTCCCAAGAAAGGTGATCCAACTGAATGCGGAAATTATCGAACAGTATCACTAATATTACACACAAGTAAAATTTTGCTGAAGATCATTCAAAAACAGCTGCAGGAGTACGTCAACAGGGAACTGCCAGAAATTCAAGCCAGATTCAGAAGAGGATGTGGAACAAGGGGTATCATTGCTGATGTCAGATGGATCCTGGCTCAAAGCAGAGAATACCAGAAAGATGTTTACCTGTATTTTATTGACTACACAAAGGCATTCGACTGTGTGGATCATAACAAATTATAGATAATATTGGGAAGAATGGGAATTCCAGAACACTTAATTGTGCTCATGAGGAAGCTGTACATAGATCAAGAGGCAGCTGTTCAAACAAAACAAGGGGATACTACGTGGTTTAAAGTCAGGAAAGGTGTGCATCAGGGTTCTATCCTTTCACTATACCTATTCAATCAGTATGCTGAGCTAATAATCTCAGAAGCTGGACTCATTGAGGAAGAATGGGCATCAAGATGGGAGGAAGATGCATTAACAACCTGCGTTATGCAGATGACACAACCTTGCTTGCTGGAAATGAAAAGGACTTGAAGCACTTACTGATGAAGATTAAACACCACGGCCTTCAGTATGATTATACCTCAACATAAAGGAAACAAAACTCCTCACAACTGGACCAATAAGCAACATCATGATAAATGGAGAAAAGATTGAAGTTGTCAAGGATTTCATTTTACTTGGATCCACAATCAATAGCCACGGAAGCAGCAGTCAAGAAATCAAAAGACACATTGCACTGGGCAAATCTGCTGCAAGACCTTTTTAAAGTGTTGAAAAGCAAAGATGTCACCTTGAAGACTAAGGTGTGCCTGACCCAAGCCACAGTGTTTTCAATGGCCTCACATGCATGCAAAAGCTGGACGATGAATAAGGAAGATCGAAGAAGAATTGATGCCTTTGAATTGTGGTGTTGGCGAAGAATATTGAATATACCATGGACTGCCAAAAGAATGAACAAATCTGTCTTGGAAGAAGTACAACCAGAATGCTTCTTAAAAGTAAGGATAGTGAGACTATGTGTCTCATACTTTGGACATGTTATCAGGAGGGATCAGTTCCTGGAGAAGGACATTGTGCTTGGTAGAGGGTCAGTGAAAAAGAGGAAGACCCTTAACGAGATGGACTGATGCAGTGGCTGCAACAATGGGCTCAAGCACAACAATGATTGTGAGGATGGTGCAGGACGGAGCAGTGTTTCATTCTGTTGTACATACCGTCGCTATGAGTCATAACTGATTCAACAGCACCTAACAACAACAAACAACTGAATATTCCTAACAACAAAGGTGCCTAGTCACAGAGGTGGTTGTTGTTTGGCACTGGAAGTCAAACTGGCATAGTGGCCTCCGAGGTCTCTTCCAACTTGAAGACATGAATTATATGTTATAGGGTTTACCAGCCTGGGTAGTTAACTGAGGTCACATTTCAAGCCTCCACCTGCATGTGCAGAATTTAGCTTGTCTCAATGTAATACCCCAGTATTTCTGAGTCCTCAAGTGCTCAGATACAAGTCCGCTCATGTTCTTCAACTCCATTACCATGGTAAGTCACCATGCCACTGAAGCTTTGACCAGTGCTCTCACCAAGCCTAGCTCTGCCAATGATGACTGGTCCCCTTCTTCTCAATGCCACTGCTCCTTGGAATTCAGAACCAGGCTGGATTCTCATCTCGAGGCCGTTTTCGGGCCCCCCTCCAGGGACTGTGCCACAGTTCCAGACTAACCCTCTCCCAAGGAGTCCAGAAAACCTCTTCAGTCATTGGTCAGCTGTCCCCATTGGTCACTTCACCCATATGTCACCACCCAAACTGTCCTCTGTCAGTCCCAGGAAAAAGGAATCCTTGTGAGGCTGGCAGCACCCCAAGGCCCCTAGCGGTCATTTAGAGTGAGGTCCTGACACATTCTTGGACATTGCCAGGGAGCAGGAAGAGAAATATCAGCTACTTGAGGGGCCCACTGACCTTGGAAGAGTGGGTGGGATCTATTTTTAGTTGAAAGAAAGCTTTCTCTCTTCATTTTTCCAGTAGATAAATCTCCAATGTGCCTGGGAAACCTGCCTTCACTCTGCCACAAACCTCCCCTGAAAGGGAAGGAAAATTACTTTTGCAATAATTTTTTTTCCTCCAATCAACAGTACGTCAGAATCAAAGCAGTCTCTGAGAATATTTAAAAGAAATCAATTTTCTCTCAAAGACCCAAAGCTTCTAAGATACAAAGAATCTTTTACATTTGTATTCAAGAATATTCAGTTCCTTCAAGACACAGTTCTTTAATATTTTCTAGTTGTGATTTTGGCTTTATATTTGCAAAACTAAATGATCTCTTTGGGTGGTTTTTCCAAAACAAATAGGTTTTCCTGAAAGGCCTAAGCCTTCATTTTCCACAAAATAGAAAATTGCTCATAGCTTTGTAATGACAATTTAATTTTTATTTCAACCACCCTGTCCAGGTTTCAGAGATCTGGGGCCCACTTTCAGTCAATAACACAAGCTACAGGTATCCAGTGATTACTTTCTTATCCACAGCAGCTCCTGACAGGAAGAAAACTCCTGCCGGTCTTAGATCTAAAGAATGAAAACTCTGTCTTCAGATGAGGCTGTCTTTTTCCCACTTCCTGGATCACTATCTTTCCTCTGAAATGTTTGAATCAGAATGAATTTGTTATACTTGGGAATCTAAATCAAAACTAATATGCATAAAGTCAAAGAATACTGCAACAAAGTATCAGAGCCATTGAACAATACATACAAAATAATTCTAGGAAATTACAGCGCTCGAAATATGGGCCCTTCTCTGTGACTTCGAAGCAAGGACATTTATTTGCTATAGAATCAGAGGGAAGAGTAAAATTTAGACCTAAATATCCATGGGAGGAGGGGGGAGAAAGAGGCCTCAAAGATGGTCTTACATGGAGGAAGGAGCCAAATGGATTTGGAAAAATGTTGGTGCTGGAGTGTTCCCAAAGTCCAGGCCACTTGGGAGGCCTGGCCTACGCTTAGCCGAGGCATATTTTAGTGTTCCACTCTCTCTTTGAAAGAAGGTTGGGCCTTATGAGATACTGGTGTTGCCCTGGTCATAGTCGGTGGATCAAACTCCCAACCAAAAATTCTCTTTCCAACAAATGTTGTTTATCTCTACATTCCCAACAGAACGGGATTCTGGATTCGGCTTTGTTCTTTAAACCAAAATGCCCAGCCAAGGATTCTCCTAACCCTAGAAGCCCATTCCCAGCTGGGAGTCGGGAGGCGCTTCCTGCTGACGTTGAGCATTCCCTAACAGTGGGGCGCACAGAGCCGGCGGTCTGCAGCCTTCGGGGGCTCTACAGCATCTGTGCATGTTAGGCGGCAGTGTTCCTCCACACCCGCTCAGCTTCGCTTTGAAAGACTCGGTTTGAAAGCGCCATCTGTCAGCAGGTGAGCATGTTTTCCATTCGCAGGGCTGACTCACGCCCGCAGCCACAGGTACGCTCTGGCTGTGCACCTGAGCCTACTCCCTCCTAGCTGCATATTAACCAAGTTCTGGGGTTTGTAGTAACAGCGTGAACGAAGCCTTTTGCCGGCCGCGCACCTCAAATGACGACAGTAAAGTCTTTACTAAGGCTGGCCAACTTGACACAAGGACCGCCTTCCTCCCTACCTCGGGCCCTTCGCCGGCTAGCTGCGAGGGGCTGCCGCG